CCCACTGGAAGGCTATTCCAGGTATCTACTACCCATTCTATATCACTGTTAATGCTCTCACTGGAAGGCTATTCCAGGTATCTACTACCCTTTCTATATCACTGTTATTGCTCCCAATGGAAGGCTATTCCAGGTATCTACTACCCTTTCTATATTTCTGTTACTGCTCTCACTGGAAGGCTATTCCAGGTATCTACTACCCATTCTTTATCACTGTTACTGATCCCACTGGAAGGCTATTCCAGGTATCTACTACCCATTCTATATCACTGTTACTGCTCCCACTGGAAGGCTATTCCAGGTATCTACTACCCTTTCTATATCACTGTTACTGCTCCCACTGGAAGGCTATTCCAGGTATCTACTACCCTTTCTATATCGCTGTTACTGCTCCCACTGGAAGGCTATTCCAGGTATCTACTACCCTTTCTATATCACTGTTACTGCTCCCACTGGAAGGCTATTCCAGGTATCTACTGCCCTTTCTATATCACTGTTACTGCTCCCACTGGAAGGCTATTCCAGATATCTACTGCCATTTCTATATCACTGTTACTGCTCCCACTGGAAGGCTATTCCAGGTATCTACTACCCTTTCTATATCACTGTTACTGCTCCCACTGGAAGGCTATTCCAGTTATCTACTACCCTTTCTATATCACTGTTACTGCTCCCACTGGAAGGCTATTCCAGGTATCTACTACCCTTTCTATATCACTGTTACCGCTCCCACTGGAAGGCTATTCCAGGTATCTACTACCCCTTCTATATCACTGTTACTGCTCCCACTGGAAGGCTGTTCCAGGTATCTACTACCCTTTCTATATCACTGTTACTGCTCCCACTGGAAGGCTATTCCAGGTATCTACTACCCTTTCTATATCACTGTTACTGCACCCACTGGAAGGCTATTCCAGGTATCTACTACCCTTTCTATATCACTGTTACCGCTCCCACTGGGAGGCTATTCCAGGTATCTACTACCCTTTCTATATCACTGTTACTGCTTCCACTGGAAGGCTATTCCAGGTATCTACTACCTTTTCTATATCACTGTTACTGCTCCCACTGGAAGGCTATTCCAGGTATCTACTACCCATTCTATTTCACTGTTACTGCTCTCACTGGAAGGCTATTCCAGGTATCTACTACCCTTTCTATATCACTGTTAATGCACTCACTGGAAGGCTATTCTAGGTATCTACTACCCTTTCTATATCACTGTTACTTCTTCCACAGGAAGGCTATTCCAGGTATCTACTACCCTTTCTATATCACTGTTACTGCCTCCACTGGAAGGCTATTCCAGGTATCTACTACCCTTTCTATATCACTGTTACTGCTCCCACTGGAAGGCTATTCCAAGTATCTACTACCATTTCTATATCACTGTTCCTGCTCCCACTGGAAGGCTATTCCAGGTATCTACTACCCTTTCTATATCACTCTTACTGCTCCCACTGGAAGGCTATTCCAGGTATCTACTACCCATTCTATTTCACTGTTATTGCTCCCACTGGAAGGCTATTCCAGGTATCTACTACCCTTCCTATATCACTGTTACTGCTACCACTGGAAGGCTATTACAGGTATCTACTACCCATTCTTTTTCACTGTTACTGCTCATACTGGAAGGCTATCCCAGGTATCTACTACCCTTTCTGTATCACTGTTACTGCTCCCACTGGAAGGCTATTCCAGGTATCTACTACCCTTTCTATATCACTGTTACTGCTCCCACTGGAAGGCTATTCCAGGTATCTACTACCCTTTCTATATCACTGTTACTGCTCCCACTGGAAGGCTATCCCTGGTATCTACTACCCTTTTTATATCACTGTTACTGCTCCCACTGGAAGGCTATTCCAGGTATCTACTACTCTTTCTATATCACTGTTACTGCTCCCACTGGAAGGCTATTCCAGGTATCTACTACCCTTTCTATATCACTGTTACTGCTCCCACTGGAAGGCTATTCCAGGTATCTACTACCCTTTCTATATCACTGTTACTGCTCCCAATGGAAGGCTATTCCAGGTATCTGCTACCCTTTCTATATCACTGTTACCGCTCCCACTGGAAGGCTATTCCTGGTATCTACTACCCTTTTCATATCACTGTTACTGCTCCCACTGGAAGGCTATTCCAGGTATCCACTACCCTTTCTATATTGCGGTTATTGCTCCCACTGGAAGGCTATTCCAGGTATCTACTACCCTTTCTATATCACTGTTACTGCTCCCACTGGAAGGCTATTCCAGGTATCTACTACCCTTCTATATCACTGTT